CTTGGGTTTTTTCTTCTTCTTGATCTTGGGAGTTTCAGCCTCTGATAGAAGCTCTTCCTCTGGCTCTTCTTCAGGCTCTGGAAGGAAAGGCCAAAACAAATTTAGGAAGAGCTGATTTCAGCCATTCACAGTCCACCACCTGCAAGTGAGGATTCCAGCACATGCCACTTTTCACAAAGGGTTTAACTGCTTCAACTCGTAGAAACACACATTCAAAACAAGTCTGGCTAGCCAGATTATGCCACACTAAATAAGAGAGTAATAGCTCCAGTACACCCTATGTTCCCTCCTTACTTCCCCCCCTCCAAAAAATCACTATCCATCCCCTCTCTCCATCTCAGTAACACTTTTCTGAACAGAGCCACATGAAATATTTGAGGATTAGAGAGTTCTTTAGCTCAGCAGACACAGCAGAGATTCAGCAAGTGGGCTGCTGAGTCCTGTGGATGTGACCAGCAAAGTGGCACAGGAGAAAAGTGCGGAAGGGAAAAGGAAGAGAGAGAGGGAGAGAGAGGGAGCCACACCTTGGTCTTTGGGATAGACAGACTACAACACAGCAGAAAGTCCAAGGACCAGCTAGGCTGGAGTCAGAGCATGGGCTCCATCCCAAGATCTCCCATAAAAATATGTTTTCAGCCCAGGAGACCCTGCAATGGCAAGCAAAGATCAAAAAACTGTCAGCTGCTGCTTGCCTCTCCCCCACCTGCATAGTTGCTGCTTAGGGCAACTCACTGAATCCAGCGCAACAGGATCTACAAACCCTTCTTCAAGCACAAGTCAGCAAGCTCAATCCCTCATCACTGTAATGCATGCCAGCTCCCCCACACACTCCCATCTGTTCCCCCTCCCCCCACACAAAGCCCAGAGGAGCATGGACAGCCAGACAGCCTTTTCCTTTGTGACAAGATCCACAGCAGTCCAACCATTCGCCTTCCCCTGCCGCCCCGCCCATTACAGAGTCACTCACTCTCCCTCCAAGGGAAAATGGCCTCCTGACCACAGGAGCTAAGCCAGATGGGGGAAGCCACAAGTCGCAACAACCAAAGGACAAGAGAGAAAGGAAGGATCCTGTATCCTTGGGCAGAGAGAGTATTCTTCCCACATTTCTAATTTACATAAGTATGCCTTCATTCAGTAACATTTACTGAATCCTACCCAGAAGTGTGGGCTCCATAATCTACCCCTCCAGCAAGTTCTGATTTAGGACTGTCTGATGTCCCTACACCATTTGGCACATTGCCCAAGCTTCTTAACTTCCCAGTGACTTAACCAATGAGGGGCCTGGCCCCAACCCTGAAAAGGCTTCCTTTTCCTAGGCTCACAGACACCCTCTTTAGGAGGAGAGGCTGGAAGACCATTTTTCAGCTTCTTTCCATTGCTTCAGTCTCACCCAGTCCCTCAAGATTTCCCCAGAGCTCTGCAGCTACTAGGAGGACCCTGAAAACAAACTGGCCATAGTAAGCCATACCATGGCAGCCTGTTGACAACACTTTGCTGCCACCTTTCACCTACAGAGTGAAAAGGCAGTTCAGAGGCAAATTCAGGATCACATTTTACAACCCACTACTCCAGGATACACATTCATCCTTGTTTTACAGATTGAGAGAAGAGGTAGAGATCTATACAATAACAATGCTGGGAATGAAGTAGCAGTTATAAATCCCAGTCTCTTTAGCTCAGTCTCTGTGTGAGGCACGTGGACTATGTTTACAAGGAAGAGGCAGATACAGGGACTGCAGGTTAATACACCAGAGGAACTGCATCCTACAACCACACTGCACTGTCAGTACATCTACTGCAACAAGGAGAGGGCTAAGGGGAGCAGCAGAGCAGGATCCAGGAGAAGCTGGGAGAACTAGGTGCGGTGGGTAAAGAAACTGGGTCATGCGATAGCCCAGGGCAGTCTGCTCTGGACGCTAGCAGGTCTAAGCTCCCAAGTGAAGGAGTACAAACCTGACACCCTGCTCCAATGCAGAATCCTCCCCCCAGCCATGAAGTGTGCACCTTCTAGAGGTGGTGGGTGGCTCCATCAGGGTGCGTGTTCCCACCCACCAGCAACAGCTTGCAATGAGAAAGTTCACCTCACTGAACCGCAGGACCAGCCGCTCTTAAAAACAACCATTAAGGCTCAAATATTCCAATCAGATGCAAAATGCTCTGAACAAAACAGGTTTCTCCTGCCACTGTCTCCCACAGGACCGCTGACTTGACCAAGACAGAAGAGAGCCACAGCTTGCTGCAGAGATCCTGACCATGCTACCCATACCTGGATGCTGAGGAATACTGTTGTTCAGCAGGATCTCCATCTCATCATCATCACTACCAGCAGAGCAGGGTGACAGTGGACCAATGCCCGATGCCATGTCTTCCTAAAGCGGGGACACGAGGGCTTACACAGCTCGTGCAGCCTCGTCTCCTTCCTCCTGCCCCTCAGCTTCCTGAAAAGGTAGAAGGAAAGTAGGTTACAGCAACCGGCAGGAGACCCACCCCGCGGAGAAGGGATTGCCCCCCGCAGCACGTGGGAAGTGGACTGCAGAGCCGGGAAGGGGGAGGATGCGCGCGGGTACCAGCCCCATACTCCCCCGGCAACGAAGCCAAGCAGCAGAATGCTGCCTAGCGGGAGCCGCGCCACGGCCCGGAGGGGACGCCCGGGGCCGGCGGCCGCACGCCTGCCTGCCAGGGCCGGCTCTGCCTGTCGACGAGAAGGCGGCCTGGGCCGAGGCCAGCGCCAGTCGGCA